TCCTTCGTCGCGGCGCTGTGACGTATGCGGCCGACAAATTCGGCCTTCGGAGGACCCGGCCTGTTGTTTTGGACACAGCCGAAGATAACATAGTTACAGAGATCCTACCATGTTTTTCTCCCTTATGTCTGCTTCAGTTTTCGGTGTTCTGTCAAGAAAATTATCACAGCGTCGTGGCTTGTACTGCATGACCCGGTCCGCTCAGAGGAGCTTGAAGCCTGCAGAGTCCAGTACCGGCCCACACAGCCACACATGTTCGTGAAGCACAGAACAGAAGGAGGAAAAACATGTAGATCTTACCCACAAATAGTTTCAGTTGGTCATTTTTTTTACTCCATTTGCTCACATCTGAAAGAAATAATCCAGGAAGTTGTGTGCTCAGAACACACTGATGATGATGATGAATTAGTTAACTCTGAATCTTCAAGTTCATTCCTTGCTAGGAATCTTGGCGTTAATGCTCACAGGCTCACAGAAAATATATCACATACATAAGTGACCATAAACTTTCATCCTTTGTCCCATTGCAGATCTTCAGCTTCATCCCCTCCAGCCAAGCCAGGTCTGTCCCCTCAGGTTTGTCCGTGAGCGGCTTCCTGGTGTTCACTCCCGAAGCTGAGGAGGAAGTCAGAGACCACATCCAGGTTCACGTGGACAACATGGAGACATTGCAGATCCCGGTGCTCGGGTGAGCAACTCTGGACCTTTTAAAAGAGCAGCAGCCATCTTGAACAGTGCTTCAGTTGTTTCACGTGTTCCCGCTGCAGGTCTCCCAAAGCGTGCTGTCTTGTAACCGACTCGCTGCTGGACTTCGGCTGCGTGGTGGCGAGCAGTCAGGTGGTCAGCAGACTTCATGCTGTAACCAACGCAGGCTCAGCAGCAGGTGAGTCGAGTTGTGATGATCTGAGACGTGAGCTGAAGGTAAAACCTTACTGTGTTTGTTATCATGAAGGTGCATTCCACGTTGAGCTCAGCGGTGTCGACTCCTCGCTCAGCGTTTCACCGCTCAGCGGGGTCGTAGCAGCTGGCTCCACCCAGTGGCTGAATGTGGAGCTGCACACGGACCGACCCAGACAGATCCATGACAGAGTTCTGTGAGTTTAACCAGAAACAACTCACACATGTTAAAGAAACCAGGTTATTATTAGGCTTGAGCAGCTGAACGCTGTGAAGGCCTGTTGTTATTCTAATGTAATTATTATCATTCTCCTCCGAAAAATAAGACACATACAAAAACTCACCAAACTTTACATGAAATTGTTCCTCTACCCATATTTTAATATTTTAACAGAATTGAAAATGGGCGTGGCCAAACGGCTCTACAGCACCTCAACATACGGTAGAGCTGAAATTCGTTACGTAGGTAGACCACCCCAAGACAAGAAAAAAAGTCTCTTGGTAGGCCTGTCGCGATAGTCAATAAATCAATTAATTGCATGATAAATTTTTTTGAGGTCGGTAAAAAAATGAGGACGATAAGT